GTTTGATATTATCCAAAACTAATTCAAATCTCCTCAACTCTTTAATGACCTGTTTCAGACTATTTACATATGATAAGAAAATGATACAAACGATCGAAACGATTCAATTCTTAAATCTTTCCACCAGACGTAAATACTCTTACCTATTGCGAAAATTTTGAAATTTGTGTATGTGTGTATGTGTGTATATGTGTGTGTGTGTGTGTGTGTGTGTGTGTGTGTGTGTGTAGGCACAGTCAAATATTGCTTGATGACGGTTTATTGATAGACGGAGAGTTCCCAAAGGATATTAAATGCAGGATTGAGCATTAAGTTTGATTGAATTGATGAACAACGGAGTGCAGAGTTCCTTGAATGATTTAGGTATATATTATTGTAAATGGTCAATATCAAAACTAAATCCATTACTGTCCGTGTCCTTTATATAGTGAGAGTTTGTTTACGACAAACAAGAATTAGAACAGAATGACCAGAAGTTTTTTTTTACAATATGCTGGTATTCTTATATGATTAGATAAGATTATACCAGAGATTTGTTATAATATGGAACAGATTGACCAGAAGTCTTTTTATAACACAATGACATTGACCAGATATTCTTTACAATATATATGGATGACATTATAAATGAACTTGATTATCAATATGAGTTGATTTGTGGGGTTTTTGTTTTTGGTTTTTGAGTCTTCTTTTTTTTGGTTTTTGGTCTTTGATTTTTTTTTTAAATTTGACTTTCGATATCTTACAACACGATTTGAGTTGCACATTTTTATAATGTCAACATTATTTTTACACTGAAAATGTTTAGGTTTTTATCGATGTCAGCAACCAGAAAATATTGACAATAACATGAAATTTGCATAAATACCAACAATTTGTATGACAATTTTGGCGATTATCTCCAAAATTGTCGCATAAAATTAAAAATAATTTCAATTTTTCTTATCTTTAAATGTATTTATTGATCAAAATCTAAGAAATTACTTCCATGAATATATGTGAAAATGTTCTGCAGTCTAAATAAAGCTATGAATAGAGTTTGAAAGTGTATTTGAAGTTAAAAGTTGGGTGTGCCAAACTTTTTACTCCCCTTTTTTTCACCTTTTCTTTTAGTAACATCAGAGTATTTCGGCGACAATAATTTGATACTTTCATTGATAAAAAAATTACTGTGATCGTGTTGAAGTTATATGGAAAATTTCTTAACTTACTATATCGTTGGGACTGAGTTACGACAGTGTTACTTGAAAAAGAATTAATCATCAGTGGTATATTTGATGCTAATTATTTTATTAAATTTATTGTTACCAAACATTCGATTATTTATGTCGGAAAAAATTGAACTATTTTTATCAAACCAAAGCATTTTGAAGTGCGGATAATCTGAATGTCTTGAATAAATAGATTTGTAACTATATGAATATGGTTTATAAAAGGTATTTTTCGATAAATGATTCATTATACAGAATAATAATAACAACACAAATGTTTCATTATATAAAATAGTAACAGAAAAAAAAAAGAAATCTTAAAATAATGGATCATTTATTCAACTTTTATCACTTGAATGGAAAAGGTCAAGTTTATTTACAAAGTTTGAAATTTAGTACCTATCTATCATTGATTTGTTATTCTAATTTAACTGTAATGTCTAATTGTCGACACAATGCAAGCTCTTTTATAATGTTGATAGCGTTCCTTATTTGAAAATAAATTAGATGAAGTATATCAGTAAAAGGAAGATGAGCTGTGGTCAGTTACGAAACTTTGACAATTCCTTATCGAAAGATAAGTTAAAAGAAATGAACAAATGGCTAAAGGTCAAGGTCCTATCATTGAAAATAATAAGAAAATAATTAAGTTTAAACCCAAATAAATTTCACGGAATATTAAAGAAGAAACATATGCCTTATCTGCGATTAATTGAACTAAAGCCTAAAAAAACTTCGATGATCTTAAGAAAACTCCTAAATTGACTATGAAGAAAAACCTTTAATGGAGAAGCAAGACAAGAAGATCTTTTGTGAATGCTTTTTTTTTTTCTTTTGCAAACGATGAATAGATTGTTTGAGAGAAAATAATGCCTACGTGATTTGTTTCAAGAAAAGTTATTCAATAGGAGGTATTTATTGTTTTAAGAGGGCATATATACTGCAAGAAAACGGTATGTTGTTTCTGCTGTAAAGTTCTTCATAACAGAGCACTATGTCATATTGAAGACAAAGAAACCAGGCAAAATCAGAATCCGTGGAATAATCTGGTTACACTATATGCTCTGATAAAGGCAGCAATTTTTGTGATCTCAGAATTGACTTCCAGACCTCAGAACTGCACTAGGATCATCTGTGATAAAAGGAAGAAGATCCTGAGCACCAAAATCATTTCTAAAGACGTGTTCCGACGAGATCAGTTGGATAAACGATATCGAACGTCGTTAGGTTTCTTTTTCATATTGTTATCGTCATTAATTGTCATATTGAAGTCATAATTACTGAGTTCGTTGTTATATTAACCAAATTTGCCGGTCTAATTACCCAAGTTTGAGGTTCATTATTAAAGCGTGAGAAACAAAGAAAATTAAAGAAATCGACAAGAAGGAACAGATGTCATAATCGGAAAAAAGGGACTTCAATAAAAAGGGACTGTATATATTTTCTTTGATTGATGAATAATCAAGGTCAAGTCACTGAAGAAAATATAAAATGTCATCGCTTCAATAGATTTCCCTAATATCATTTTCTATTATCAGCTGTATTTGACATCTGGAAACCCAAATTATCATGATTGCTTTAAAAATCAGAAAAAAAAACCTCTATGTGGATCTTGTATTATCAGCTAAAGGAACAAATGCTCGCCAAAATATAACGAAATGAAATCTATTTTCAATGGTTGCGATGAACAACCGAGAATTCCCTTCAAATGATCAAGACTTTGATAGATACCCATCCAGGACAGAGCTGAAATCAACCTAAGCAAAAATTTTTCAACTTCTCCTTTCTGTTAAGTATTTCACCCCGCTACAATACCTCAACTCAGTATTGCATCCATGATATCAGTAGAAATCAGGCAAGAAAAAAAACATGCCATTTTATCCGCTCTTATTTTTTCGATATGTGTCGGCGAAGCTAAAAAAAAAGTGTCATGAGTTGTTTTATTTAGAATTTAGAATATTTCTCAGGTAAATGACTCGTTATGTTGTGAAAGTTTGATTATCTGAATTGAGTAGCTTCAGCAACAATATATTTGACATTTATTTGTGTAGGAGAGTGACCAAAGAACTTCTTTATTGACAGGATAATATGCAGATCTATTTAAACATTAATATTGACCAAGCTAAATAGCCTTTAAATTGGTAACAATTGGACAACTGTCCAACTGGATTAAGAAACAACTGGATTGGACAACTGGATTAAGAAACAACTGGATTGGACAACTGGATTAAGAACAGAGATGCCAGGAAATTTCCTGTTAACGTTGATGTGGCGTCCAATCCACAAAAAACGAAAGCTTTTTTATTTTTGGATAGGCTTATGTATGTTAAGAAGTGAGAGGCGGTGATATTAAAAACCATAAACTGTTGAGAGCCAAATTACATAAAACATGCCCATCGAACAAAAGGATACAAAAAGAGAAGATCCGATTTG